ATAGGTATCTCTGCATCAGCAAGTGTCTTTCATTGGTTCATCAGACTGCTGAATTTGTTGAATTCTTATTTTGTGAAGCCAACTACTGAGATTGAGCAAAGAGACACATGTAGGACATAAATAAGTAATTTATAAGAAGAGATTTATTGCCAGGCAGTGGCGGCACACGCCTTTATTAATCCCAACACTCAGAAGGCAGAAGCAGGCAGATTTCTGAGTTCAAGCCCATCCTGGTCTACAAAGTGAGGTAGTTCCAAGACAGTCAAAGCTACACAGGAAACCCTGTCTTGAAGGAAAAAAAAAAGGGGGGGGTTGATGTTTGGCTGACTTGTTCGTGTTTCTCTCAATGAAGACCACACTGGCTTTAAATTATGATGCCTGGTATTCCTGACCAAAATACTGACATTATAGGCTTATACCCTCCCACACCTGGCTTCCTGTATTTTTCACATATTTCAACTTCCATGGTCTTCATATCACAGCACTTGTATTTATTTGAAGTGTGGCTATGATCTACAAATTTTGTAAGTACCTCAGCCATTTGAAAAGATGGCTATTGCCTTTGGCATTACAGTTGAGATTTTATTTTTGAAGTGTCAGTTTTAATTAGCTTTTCCCTCCATACCACATTAAGTAGCTTCATAACTTATCAAGGAGGGTTTTGGACTGTAGCCCAGGGTAGCTTGAACTCAAACTCATGATCCTCCTGTCTTAATAACATCTTTGTCACTATACTTTCGGAATTCACTCAGCCTCATGGAGGGCTACAACTATAGGTGTATGCCATTACATTATCACAGCTTTCTTACAAGTGAACAATAGATGTCTTCTGCTTTTAGACTGTTAAGTAGCACAGTAAGAAGGAATTGTATCTGGCTCTCCTAATACCTAATGTATACAAGTAATGGATTTCCAGAAAAATTGGACCAACCAGACATACACATATACACACGTAGCGATACAGGAGAGGGAATTTACTACAGGAGTTGGTGGCTGTGCCTACAGAGGTAAACAAGTTCTACAAGAGGTCATCTGATCACCTTATAAGTAACTCTTAGTCCAAAGTCAAAAGATGAAGGACCCAAGGAAGGGACAAAGGGTGTTAAAGAAAATCTGTAATCCAAAGACCTGGGAATGTAGAGTTTTGATATCTAAGCCAGAAGAAAATTGCCTCCCAGATCTAAGATACCAGTGGTTTTTCCATATTGTTATCTGAGAGCTCAGGGTGATCTGGTAGTGATGGGCCACAATGACAACCAGATCCTCCCTATCTGGTCTATTCAGATTCACACATATTTCATCCAGAAACACTGTATACATACACACCAAATATGTATTTTTTCAACCTAACATAATTCAACTCTTTTGCAAACAACTGAAAATATACTTCTACTGCTTACACAGCTTGCTATACCTCCACAACAACCACCCTATGGAAAATACAGCTTTTGAGATTTCAGCTCTCCAGACTTAAAACTCTGAGATTTTAATCTTTTAGAACTGTGCTCTGGGAAACTTTCAGACTTCAAGGATTTTAGCCTAAAAACTTTGATTTCAGGGTTTGCCTTTTGTGACTATAATCACTACTACTAGAATAAATCTCACAGAAAGTATACACCCATGAAGAGAATACAAATTTGTAATAAAATCTAAGCTGCCATCTGGGGGGATATGATTTAGTTAATAACATGCACAAAGACCTAGGTTTAATTCCTAGGCCTGAACAAACCAAACATGGTGGTGTGTATCATAACCCCAGCACTCAGGGGGCTGACACAGCAAAACAGCAGTAATTTGAAGTCAGCCTGTGCTATGAAGCAAGTTGGAGGTCAGCATGGGCTATGGAGCAATTACTACAACCTGAGAAAGAGCTAAGACCTTGCCTTAGAAAAGAAAACAATTAACTGAGCCAGGGAGAAGTGCATAGTTGCAATAAAAATTCAGGCATTATAGAAGTTATATTACAATAAGCTCAAGGCCAACCTAGTCAATATAATGAATTTCAGGTCAACCAGGACTATATAGCAATACTTGATCATAAATAAATCAAGATAGGAGCTGGAGAGATGGCTCAGAGGTTAAGAGCACTGGTTGTTCTTCTAGGGGTCCTGAATTCAATTCCCAGGAACCACATGGTGGCTCACAACCATCTATAAGATCTGGTGCCACCTTCTGTCCTACAGGGATACATGCAGATAGAACACGGTATGCATATTAAATAAATAAATTGGAAGGAAGGAAGGAAGGAAGGAAGGAAGGAAGGAAGGAAGGAAGGAAGGAATAAAGACAGGGAACTTAATGGTAGAGCCTTTATTGTGTATGAGACCAAAGACTGGTAGTTTTAAAACCAATCAATTATATGTATACAATCTCACTTGACAGTCAAACTTTTTTCACACTCAAACCTACCATATACCCATTTATAATATATGTCTATATGAATTATTAGTTTGTAAATAGTTGGTATTGATTTTGTAGTGAAATTTACAATCAACTTTAGGATAAATATTAAACACCGTATTTCATGCATGCTTTCTCTGCCTACCAACTTCCCAGTTGAAAAAATTTAGATCTCTGAAAAAAATACACATTTCTTCAACTAGTCTAAGGCAGGGTGTTTTGACTTCCAATGATTTTTCCAATCACCATTCCATTAATTCTCTCCTTCCTCTTCTGTGACTTTAATCTTGTAAATCTACCTTTTACAATCTTTCCCTTTTCCATCCTATTAATGCATCCTCTTCTGCTACTCTCCATATTAGACCACTGCTCATCTGGAAATGTGTACATATTCCACATTTCCCCCACACCTACACTGTCTCCTGGGTATGCCACAGAAGTTCATTCCAGTAGCCAGTTTCTCATCACAAATAAGCCTATTAGTTTTCAGTTCTGATATTTTGCCAAATTGGATACCTAATTAACTTAATGCTATTTTTATTTTCAATTACAGATCCTTATTTTGTTCTCTGTAGTTCAAAGAAAACTATATTTATAATAAGAAAATAAACAATGAGGATATTTCAGAAAATTTTCTGAAGTATGTAAATATTCTGTTTTTCCCACCTATTCATATCTCTAAACTACAGCAATGCTTATTGTATTCTGAAAACAGATCAATTTTAGGCAGATAAACAACTTTCGAATTCAAGAACTGAAATACTGGGGGCTAGGAAGATGGCTCAGTAAGTAAACCTGAATTCAGATCCCAGCATCCACAAAGCACAGAGGTACACATCTGTTAAGGACAGCATAGAGAGATGGTTTCTACAGACTTCCTGGCCAACAATGGAGCCCTTGTTTCAAAAAATAAGTGGAGAGCAATAAAGGAAGCATCCAACATGAACCTCTGGCCATAGGTACATACAAAATAGTTTTTGACACCTGAAATGTTTTGAAAAGTCAAGAAGAAAATTATTAAGCTTTAAAAAAAGATCAATGCAATTTAATACTAATTAAAATAAGCAAATTATACATTTTTCTAACTTACATTCTATTTATATTTGGATGAAAAGGAATAGAGCAATGTGCTGGTTAGTTTTCATTAACTTGACACAAACTAGTGACATTTGGAAGAAGGGCTCTCTAGTAAGGAATTGCCTCTATCAGAGACAAGACAAAAAAAGACACAGAGAAGAGAAGACAAGTTGGAAGGGTAGGTTTTCTCCTTTTATCATGTAGGGTAAAGGGTCTGAACTCATGATGTCAGGCTTGGTGACAAATGCCATTACCTAATGAGCCACCTCATTGACCCTGGTTTTGTTTATTAGCTATAAAATTTTTAATCTTCTAAATCTGTGGATCTCAACCTGTTGGTTTCAACCCATTTGGGGTCACATATCAGATATCCTGCATATCAGATATTTACATTACAACTGATACAATAGCAAAATTACAGTATTATAAAGTAGCAATGAAACAATGTTATAGTTGGGGGGGGCACAACAACATAAGGAGCTATATTAAAGGGTCACAGCATTAGTAAGGTTGAGAACCACTGCTCTAAATACCAGACACCAGACCCGTGTGTATGTGTGTGTATCTGTCTCTCTATGCTGGTAATGAAACCAGAACCTTCTACACGCTAACCAAGCACCCTACAACACCTACAACAGCTACAAACCCAAACCTTAATATCTGGGTAGTGTTCCTTTGATACAGAAAAGTTTCATATTCTTGATAAGGTCCATTTTATCTTTTTTCTCTTTTACTGCTTGTTCTGTTACTAATAATTTAATAATATAGTGCTAAATCCAAGACAAAGATTTACTTCTGATTTTTTCTCTAAGATTTTTATAGTTTTAGTTCTTAAGCTTAGGATTTTGTTTGCTACTAAGTTAAATTATGTACAGGTCAGTATTACTTACTCTCTAGCATGTGAAAATGCAACTGTCTCAGCACCATTTGATTTTGTGTGGCTTCTTTATCTTTGTTTGTTTCCACACATTGTCTCAAGTAACTTAGGCTTGCCTCAAACCTATTATGTAGCAGCTTTGCCTCAAACTTGCAACAATCCTCTAGTACTGGGTACTGGGATTATAAGTATATACCACCATACATACTATAGAATAAATTTTAACTGAAAAAAGTATTAGGAATAAACAAAATATATCCCCCACCACAAAAACAAAACAAAACTGTGAACTGTGAATTACTTAAATAACAGTGAACTAATAAATTTCAATTTCCTGAGTTTTCCTCTAACTTAGAGTGTTATTCGGTAAATTCTATTCTAGAAGTTTTTCTTAGTGGTTGTCTTTTGACATTTATCTACTCATTTACTATATGTGTGCATGTATGTGCATGCATGTATGTTTGGAGGTCAGAGTACAACTTGCAGGAGTTAGTTTTCTCCTTCCACCATGCAGGTCCCAGGGATCAAACTTGGGTTGTCAGCCTGGACAGGAATATTTTTACCCACTGAACCATCCTACCAGCCCAATTCCACTGTTTGATCAGTGGATGTTTGACGCTGTATTCATGAAGCATTTAATACTTACTTATCAAGGAAATCTTTGTCTACTATAGCAGAGATGTCAAGTAGAGGATTTCCCATTCCAAAGAGCACATTTTCACTAAAAAAGAAAAAATAAAAAAGTTAGAAAACACAAATATGAAAATAACTGTATCTTCACTTGAATATAAGCCTAGCATCCTAGTTTATTTAAAACCACTAATTTGCCAATTAGGGGTAGGACAATGTTTTAAAGGTAGTACAAAGCTATTTAGAAAGAAAGGTATCTGCGATGCTAAGGTGGCTCAGTGAGCATGTCTTGCACTTGCAAAAGGCCTAGAACCAGTATCCACATAGTGGTTCACAATTATCTGTAACATTTCCCGGGGATCCAACATCCTCTACTGTTCTCTATAAGCACTATATCCATTCAAGCAAAACATCATACACATTAAAAAAAAGATTAAGGTAGATGAAATAAAATTGAAATATAACAAGGAAAATGATTATGTTTTTATTGTCATTACAGTCAATCACCAATGATTTTTATGTCAAGTTGATAAAAGCTAGAGTCACTTGGGAAGAAGGATTCTTAACTAAGAAGATGTTCCCACTAAACCAGCCTATGGGCAAGCCTGTGGCACATTTTCTTAGCACATTCTCTTAAATAATGATTGATGTGTGAGGGCCCAGTGCACTGTGGGCAGAATCACCCCTGAGCTGGTGGTCCTGAGTACTATAAGAAAGCAGGTTGAGCAAGTCATGAGAAGCAAGCCAGTAAGAAACATTCCTCCATGACCTCTCATTAGTTCCTGCCCCAAATTCCTTCAATGATGAACTATCATTGTGACATATGAGATGAAATAAATCCTTTTCTCCCAAGTTGCTTGTGGTCATGGTCTTCTATCTAACTATAGAAACACAAATCCATGTGATACCCTACATAATAAAAAGCATTTATCCTTATCTTGTTCTGTCAGATATAATAAAACAGTCTTGCCTAACCCAAAACCTATAGCTGATCCACACTGCAATTAAAGGTATGTAGGACTATCCTGGGATTATACACCTAACTTTTAAATAAAAGCACCTATTTATGAAAAGCAATCCTGATAGGCAGGACATATATACTAGCACTCAAAGTACATTTTAAAATATGGAGATCTACAGTTAATAAGTCATTTCATCAAAAGATATAATAATACAAAGCACATATGCACCAAATAAAATAGCTGGAAACATTTGGAAGGAGGAAAAAGCACCATTTCTCCAACCCCTATAGTACCAAGGAGCCCAAGACTGCATCTACTAAGTATGGGCTCTACAACTGAGCTATATCCCAGCCCTAAACACACAATTTAGTTAGTTTTAATACCTCACTTTAAGCAGTTGACAAAACAGGCAGGCACAAATATAAGTAAGAATTGCACAATCCAATACTCACCCTAGAGAAAGAAAGATTAACATAAACCTACACATAAATGTTCATGTTCATAATTAAGCAGGACAGAAAAGCAGGAGAAATTGAGGGCATGCAGAGGACAGGGAACCTCTCAGCCTGAAATCCAGTTAAAGCCTCCTGTAAGCAGAGAAGCAAGAATTCCACAGCACAATCACTAACTGAATCACTGACCTTCAAGGTTCTTCTTCTCCCATCCCTACTGCAAGCCTGGAATTTCTTAGGAATCTCATCAGAAACTGGAGAAGAAAATTACACACACATTGTGCAACTCTAGTGGCTCCTGGGTATTTTAACCTTATCAGACTATATTTCCATCCGAGACACCTGTGGAGCCATCTCACTTATCAAAAGAGGACTGGGAGGGAAGGTTTCTTAACAGCCTTTTGAGGTATAACTTGAAAGCCATGAAAACACTATACATAGCTAGTAAATATGAAAACTTTTCCATATAATTTTTCCTCTCCATTTAGAAGTCATAGCTACAATTTGTTGGGTACCTTACTTTCCCCTTCTGTCCTTTAGGAAGCATATATCCACATTTGGATGTGTCTTGCTTTCTTTTGAGTACTTCTCTTTCTCTTAATCCTCACTTTTAAGTTCATGTTCCAACTAGCCAGTCCTTTTTCACAATAAAGGTAATATCTCAGTTTGGCCTGTGTTGAAGTCCCTAAAAGATTATGGGAACTCCTCAGGAGTTTTTTGTCCCCTCACCACTGACAACAGATTTATTTGCAATAGCAAAAAAGGAAAAAAAAAAAAAAAAAAGCCTACAAAAAGAAATGATACACTTAGCAACTTAGATATCAAAGTCATTGTGTGAGTGAATTAAGAAGCCTTATTTACAGGATACCTAATGATAAAGCAAACAACAAATTACAGTTAAAAAAAAGATTGATAAGTGCCAAGGTTAAGTTTAAGGGCCAGATGACCCAAAAAGGATAGCATAATATTTCTTTGTAGTGAACTGAAGTTTAGTGCCAACTGTGGTAACAGACAAATCTAGACATGATGAAACATTATATTATTATACATCACTACGACCTAAATTTAAAAGGAAAAAAAAAAAAAACACACAGGTAAAATCCTAGTAAAACCTATAGTCAAATTCTCAGTACTACACTAACACTAATTTTTTGGATTTGCAAAACACCATGGTTATGTAAAATGCAATTCTGGCAAAAACTAGATGACTCATGCTCTGATTACTCGTGTGTGTGTCTGTGTGTGTGTGTGTGTTTAATTGCTTACAAACCATATAATATTTAAAAGGATAAAATTTTATTGCATAAGGGCTGGAGAGATGGCTTAAAAGAGTACCTGGGTTCAGCTCCCAGCCCCAGATGGTAGCTCACAACCATCAGTAGCTCACAAATGTAGTACACAAATATAAACGCAAGCAAAACACCAACACACAAACACCAATACACATAAAACGATTTTTTAAAGTTCTATTATGTACATTAAAACATTTATAGGTACATTAAAACATTTATAGGAAGGTGGATACAGCTGGAAATTATATTATGCAAAGGAGCCCAGATTCAGAACAATAAACACTGCATGTTTTTCCCTAACATAGAGACAATAGATTTTAATTTTATATTGTGTATAATTAAGGTGGCATAAGTCACAAAATTAAAAGGGGACCATAAAAGGAAAAAGAGGTCTTCTTTTTCTAGAACTCACTCTGTAGGCTAGGCTGGCCTTGCTCTCACAAAGATAGGCCTTCTTCTGCCTCCTGAGTTCTGGGATTAAAGGGATGTGCCGCCACTGACCAGATGAGAAAAGAGGTCTTGAGAGAGTAGGAGAAAAATGAAGAGAAAAGAATTCCTGAGAAGTGAAAACAAAAGGGCTCCTGGGTAGGAAGAGGTGGCCAACAGGAGGTGGAGGAGGAAAATTGTGGTGGTTTAAATGAGAACTGTATCGCAGTGGTCATCTTCATGGTTGTCCCAACCCATCCCCATTCCCTGCCCCACCCCCAGACTCCAGTTTTTTAAGTCATGGTTACCAATTGGTGGCTTTATTGAAGGGGGCTATAGAATCCATAGGAGGCACAACCTCCCAGAAAGAAGTATATCAGTGAGAGCAGGAAGTGAGAATTTATAGCCTCACCCTACTTCAGTTCCCTCTAGGCTTTGTATTTGGAGCTTATGTGATCTCTCAACTTCCGCCATACCTCCCCAACATTATCTATCTCCCTCTGCAAATTTTTTGTGCCTTAAGTTCTTTGTGGTCATGATGTTTTATATTAGCAACAGAAAGATAACCAATATAATCATCAACAAAAACAAAGTGTGTAGGCAAATTAAAAAAAAAAAAAAAAAAAGGCTTTGTGCTTATCTCTATTATGAGTTCGAGGCCAGCCTGGTCTACAGAGCCAGTTCCAAGACAGCTGAGGCTATCCAGAAAAACCTTGTCTCAAAAAACAAACAAAACAAAAAAGCCTTTGTACAGTGGAGACAAAAACTGGTAAATTTTAAATCCCCAAAAATTGGAAACCACCGCTGATGTAATAAACCAGTCAAACTAAATTAATAAGTCCAGGTTTAATGAATAGAACAAAGCACTTCCTGGGTGACCCTTAGAAGGGTGGGAGAGGTATCAAGTGGTAAATATGGCTACCAGGTCTTAAGTAACACCCAGGGAGGTGTTGACTTCTGGTGACTTTCTCAAGGGCAGAGTTTGAAGAGGGCAGCTCTGGGGGACTGGCTGTCACTTTGGGCACTGGGGTGGGATTTGGAATGGGAAGAGTGAGAGACCTAAGCATGGAATAATGCCCCAAGCTGGAAATCCCAAACATTCCAACCTTTTTGGATATATATGGACGACAGTAGGGCTTCCACCAAAACAAAAACTACTCTCAGTTAAAAAGGGTAAGAGATAATGTTAATCCCAAAGATAGGAGGAAAAAGACCACCAACCCAAACCATCATGGCCAAATTAACTAAAGTAAGCAATTAATTACAGCAAGCTTTATCAGTCATGTACATGGCTGCCTCAGGTGTTTCCAATGGGGGATTTGGTGGGCTAAATAGGCAGGGTTACAGGAGCAAATAAGCATAACAAGTTAGTTCCTTCTAAAACAAAGACAAGGTTTAAGGTGAGCATAACAAGGTAGTCATCAGAAGTCGGTCATATAACCTTTTGAAACAAAGATAGGGTTGCAAGATGGTTATAAGCAACTTTTTGAAACAAAGACATGATTGTCATTTCTGGGAACAGGCAATACAGAACCATCTGTAGTTAAGTTATAGGTGGGGCATAGCCCAATCCTTGAGAAGCAGAAGTTTAATCATAAACAGGAATAAATCTAGTTTGTCTTTTCTATAAAATGGCTTTTAAGACTAAACTGGAGGCAGGGTGGTTCCTCAGAGATTTACTCTGATGTCAAAATATGAGAGAGCATATCAGGAACACGGATTTAGGCTACAAGTTCTATGTTCCAACATGGAAGCAAGTTTCCTGGGGGTTGCATAGTAATTGGACAAAGAAGGCCATAAAAGGAATCACCTTTCTTTTCTTTTCACTTGTTTGTTTGTTTGTTTACTGGCTGGGGAGCCTGGCTGTCCTGGAACTCACTCTGTAGACCAGACTGGTCTCAAACCCAGAGTTCCACCTGCCTCTGCCTCTGCCTCTGCAGTGCTGAAAGGCATATACCA